CCTCTTTGGTCCAAATATTCTCCTCAACACCCTGTTCTCAAACACCCTCAGTTTACGTTCCTCCCTTAATGTCAGAGACCAAGTTTCACACCCATACAGAACCACAGGCAAAATTATAGTTTTGTATATTCTAATTTTGATGCTTTTGGACAGCAGACGGGAAGACAAAAGGTTCTGGACTGAATGGTAGCAAGCATTACCCGAGTTCAATCGCCTCTTAATTTCATCCTGAATCAGGTTTCGATCTGTTATCGTTGTTCCCAAATATCTGAACTGTGCCACATTTTCAAAACATCTGTTTCCTGTCTTTATGTCATGATTTTGCCCAGCATTTTGGTGACGAGACAGCAACATATACTTAGTTTTCTGTGTTTACTTCTAGACCAACCTCCTTACCAGCGCCAATTAAAGTTTGTGTGTTTTTCTTTATGGTATCTACATTATCACCCAGTAGATTCACATCATCAGCATAGGCCAACAGCTGATGTGTCCCGTTTAGTTTGAGTCCCACCTGCTTTCCCTGGACCTTCCTTGCATATTCTAAGGCAAAGTTGAAAAGGAGTGGCGATATAAAGCATCTCCTTGTTTTAGAGCTCACAATGATTACTTCCCCAAACAACATTAACCGTTTTGTCTTTATAGCAGAGACGTGATGTGTTTCCTGTGTGGTACGAACTGAATTTTTATATATTATTTAGAAGAAATTCGGTATTTAAAGGGTTAAAGTTGAATTCCTCTGAATAGAGTTATCAGTTCCACCAGAGCTGCCGAAGTTTTTCCTGCAGTTACCGGAACATGTCAACCCCTTTCAGCCTGACAGGAGGAGAAATCCGTGATGAGGGAGATACCAAGCTGACGGTTATCCAGTGCCTGGGCGGTGCTCACTAGCCTGGGCATTCATATAAAGAACTTGTTCATTGGTGTCAGGTACAAAATTTTAAACCATTATAAACAAAGGCCGCGGAGTTTTCATATTCTGGTTATCCCATTAAAGTATGATTCGATATTATCTTCTCGTGTACACCAAGTATTTTCTCCCATTCAGGATTTCCGAACAAAAATTTGAACGCTTTTCTGTTAGCTCCCACGCGTGCTACATGTCCGGCCAATCGTACCCTCTTTTATTTCATCATCCTAACAATACTTCGTTGAGAATAAGAATCAAGAAGCTCCTCATTATGCGATTTTCTCCAGTTACTTCAGTGGCTAAAGGAGCAGACCCACAGATGTACGTCACTGCCACATTCCACCGGTCCGTTCAGTGTGGACTGCAGTCTCACATGGTACGTCACGAAATGTCAGAGCGATAACCCATCCAGATAGCAGCTATCTCGTCTGCCCTAGACGTTAAAAAATCAAAACTTTCCCTGTGATTCCAGTTTTCGACGAAGAGAAACTGCGCAACTTCTCTGAAAGTAATAACGACCTGACGATGGCAGCATAAGGAAGTTCCGAAACGTCGTACCACATAGGTATGTCCAGAACAGCAGTTCCCAAACTGCGAAACGTGAGTGGCTTCCGCGGGAGGGATCACGAGAATAGCAAATTTTCACGTAAAATTTAGCTGGTAATTACTTTTACCTGCATTTAATTGCAGCTTCCGTACGCGCCCGTCAGAACTGGTAGTGTAAATATTAAAACAATTCGAGCAATTAGACTTCGCCATTTGTTGGCACGATTCGTCGCCTATACGGAGCACGCTGAAGCATTTTCGTTCTGAAAATATGAATTGTTTTACGAACAGTTTGGGCACGGTACTGTTTGCGGGTCATTTGCACGTAAACAATAACACGGTTTGGGGTGCAAAGGGTTGAAGGAAGGGGGCATGAGGCTTTGGTGGCAACCAAGACGGGGCGTTATGTTGAAAGGTTTGGGAACTACTGGACTAGAGGTAAAGCTCTAGATTATTCGGAGGTACTGGGCTCGAATATCGGACGAGACACCGGTTATCGTGACTGAGGTTTTACGTGGTTTCCCTTAGGCCCTCTAGGCAAATGGCATAGTGCCTATTCCATTCTCTCTACTACCGGACGGTGTAGAGTCTACAGTGAGACAATGCAACTCCATACAGATATAAATAAGCTAGCGCAGATCGCAACTGCTGCGCCTGGCGCCTGAGAGGAGTGACGCACTGGGCTTACAGCAGAGCGCCATATAAATGCCCCACCTTACGGCTGGACTGGCAGTGCGGCTTGCGGAGAGCAGCGGGAGGTTGGTGGAGGTTAAGTGAGAGCGTGCTAATACTGTACGTTTCCGAAACTTCTCGAAGGCGAGCTTACCGAAGTGTATCAGTGAACACAGCGCTATGGTTCGGCCACAGGTTGAGCTTTCCCAGCAGGAGATGGAGACGCCACCCGCCTTGCAGCGGCTCTGGTCGCGACGGATGACAATCACGGCGCCTCTACCGGAGGAACCCGACCTTGGAATGCTTGAAGACCTCTTCCCTTCGGCACAGGTAGGAACTTCGTAGCGTTCCGTGTTACTGTGCTTGAGCACCATTCCATGAAGACGTATGGAGGAGTGGAGGCACACCTCCGCACTAGGTGGAGGTGAGTGGTCAGCTTCGCCCTCGGACCACTTTACGTCAGAAAAGAGCCCCCAGGGCTGGTCTTGATGCGGTGGGAAAGAGATCGATCCTGCTCTTGCCGGGGATCGACCCTGTCCAGCCTGTCCGTGGTCACTATACTGACTCAACTGTCCCAGCCTCGGGGAGGAAGGGTGTGGGGTGGATATCAGATTCCCATAGAAGTTTCACTACACGGCGTACCATCCCTTCGATTTAGTGGTTTTCACAATTACTTTGTTCCGTAATTGGGCTCGACTCCAGGTTTTATTTTTAAGTCCGCTACATCTGAGTTCCAAAGCACAGAAAAATGTCCGTTAGCAGCTTGCAATGCATTTTAAGTAAACAGTTGTAGAATGAGGAATAATTCACATAATTCCTGTGACCAGTCACAGCGTCAGCACGAACATTAAACAAATTGGAGGGAGAATAAAGTAAATAAGGACAACCTGAGTCAGTTAAGGTTATTTAAACTGAAACACAAGCTTCTGGAAACCACAGTAGAACGGCGACTGTCCCAATTAATTGTGGACGTGTGGTTCGGATAATCCAAAATTCAGATAATTGGATTCCATTCTGAACCCTAAAGACACACTAGTACAAGTCCCTCTTGAGTAGTCGACAATTCTGCAGCTACTCAAGAACGTCCCAGCATTTTATGGAGCCCGAAGGTTCACCCTGTTCACAAGAGCCCTCCACTGGTCCCTATCCTGAGTCCATACCAACGCATTCTATCTCTCTCCCTAAGGTCCATTTTAACAGCATCCATCGACGTTTGTCTTGTTCTACCCAGTGGTCTCTTTCCTTCTCGGCTTTCCTACCAATATCCTATATGCATACCTTTTCTCCCCCATTCGTGTTACATGCCCCGCCCATCTTATCCAACACTATCATAACACTATGCACTGTACTAGTAGTATTATAATAATACAAAATAAAAAGATTTAAAAACAGGTGAAACATGAAAAGTTAATAAATATAATTATAAATTAACATTTTATTTGAAAAATTCCAACAGTGTTTAGCCGACGGGGCTCGTTTGTCACACCACATGACTTGCCAGCGTTTCACTGCCAGAACTCCGGTTGATAGTCGTGTTTCGGATAATGGCGCGCTGCTGTCATGCTAAGCAGCAGGAGCCGCTGTATGTTCGGGCAGGAGCACGGGTCCGTGGGGCGACAATGAGCGCCATTAGAAGCGTTCGCTAAAAACAAAGGAGCAGAGCGGCGCGCCTGGCATGCAGGTAGTGATACCGTAGGTAGACGGTAAAGCTGTCCCTGTACTTAACTGATTAAGCACTAGGCTATGAAGGTGTATGAGGGAGTGGATGTATAGATCCACGTGTTCTTGACCTCGGCACTGGCTGGAGGTGAGTGGTCAGATTCACGCCCCGGCCGCGTTACTCCCGGGTACCCATTGGATAGGTTGGGTGGGCCCCAGAGCCGGTTCGGACGACGTGGAGAAGAGAATTCTGACCCTACCGGGACTCGAACTCCGACCCCTCGCTCATCCAGCCTGTAGCCAGTCGCTATACCGACTGCGCCATCCCGGCTCCCTTAATGATACTGAATAATTTGAAAAATCTATTGTGGCAAGGGCTGCAAACTTGCCGTGTACCCGTATGTGCCCAAGTTGTCCGCGCTCGGTACTCATAACCAAGTTCCGTGCAGCAGAGGCGTACTCAATCTCCGACCCATCATACGCAAAATACAGGAAAGTTGGGACCAAAAATCACATGTTGCGTTTGGTTTGGAGGCAGAACTGAGTTTATTGAAAAATGCACCCCCTCCCCCGAATCCATACTTGGGGGTGCTAGTTACAAATATGGTTGTACATACTTCCCGCATATAAGTGGCGGCAGAGATATCATCCCCCTATTATGCGTTCATTTTTTACATTTATTTCGCATAGCGAATATAAGTGGGCACCATTTAATATCAACCGCCTACGTGCTGAAGCACAACGCCTTGGCGGCGCGGAGATAGAACTCCACCCTCTCTTATCTGGGCCAGTAGACGGTCAGCTTCACGCCAATGCGCGCTATATAGAAGGCTGTTGGGTCTCGAGGGCCGATTTTGACGCGATGGTAAAGAGAAAGTGTTCCATTTCTGTGCCAGGAAACGAACACCGGTCCTCCAGCCAGTTACGAGTTACTATACTGAGCTATCCCTGCTCCAGATTTCAGCGCCTTACTTTTTGGGGCGGCTGAAATCATTTCATTGTGAACAGGGTGTTGTGTCTGGCCCTGCAGAACCGAGCTCCGCACACGTGTACTGCTATACTGGCTGGCGCCTTCCTGTCGGAATCATTTGCTTCAAAGTCTAGTTCGTCACTGAAATTTTAAGTAGAAAATACTGCCCCAGACTGTCGGATGTAAGGCGCATGAAACAAGTGATCGGTATCGTACGGAATGAAAGTAGAAGCTCCGAGACAGCAGAACATACGAGTAGAGCTTCTGGAATATTCCACTGGTCTTCGTACGCGCACTCCAAGCGCAGTCCACCGGTCACGTGGTAGGAGTCTCTGAACCCTAGGGCGGTAGAAAAGGCAAAGTTGTCCCTCTGCGTATCTACTTAAGCACTACTACATGAAGGCGTATGGGGAGTGGATGTACAGATCCACTTTTTTTGACCTCGGCACTGGCTGGAAGTGAGTGGTCAGCTCCACGCCCCGGCTGCTTTGTCCACCTGGGAAAGGGCCTCCGGTACCCATTGGAGAGGAGGTTTAGTGGACACCAGAGCCAGTCTGGACGACGTGGAGAAAATTCTTTACTCTACCGGGACTCGAATTCCGATCCCTCGCTCGTCCAGCCGGTAGCCAATCGCTGTACCGACCACAAGATTTATATTCCGTTTAACCCACTAGCTTCATTGTAACACAAACACAGAGATCGTGCCTCGAGCGGTCTTCGAACCCACACACTCACAGCAACGTGAATACACAAGCATATATGCAGAACCACGACGGTTAATACGCCCTCCGGGATTTTAAACAGTCCTGACATCTGTAGCCGATTTAACGTTGTTAAATAACCAAGAAATGGTGCCCGAGTATGAATTTCGTAACAGAAAAGTGAGGAGTCCTACAGACGTCAGCGCTTCAAACCGATCGCGCTGAATGGCAGTGCTGAGGTGATAACACACAGTCCTGGGACATGACCAAATGCACAGACACACACATGGGCTGTTTGCGGAGTAAGGAGAAGCAGTGGCCGTGTTTTTAATTGTGAAGTTCTGCGAGAAAGACAGCGCGATACAAACAGAACGATATCACCAAAGGATTAACAATGTTTATCAGAGGAACTAAGTTCGTTCATTCATTCGTTAGGTCACATTCTCCTCTGCGGTCTCTGTCAACATTGCGCAGAAAGCGGGCTGTCGTAGCGGGAGGTCCTCGGTTCGAATATCGATCAGGACATCAGCTATCCTCAGTTCCTTCAGGCAGAGGCCGCGGCCTTCCAGATCCTTTCCAATTCATCATTCGGCTACCCTACCATTCTTCGCTACGGACTGTTAGCTACTGACAGCGTCGTAAAAGAACCCACAAAAAATTGTGACGGAGGTAAAACCTCGATAATCCGGTTACAGTTACTCCGGATCGAAATATGAACAGTCAGTACGGCAGTTCACAGCTCCGGGAGTATTTATGAACGCATAAGAATTGTGAGGGAGATGGGCACAGTAGTAGAGGTCTCTTCAAACCTGCATTATTGCGTTCAAAAACAAGTACAGCTTCTGAGTCTTCTATCAATTAATAAATGTATAATTTCTAGTTTTTAAATTATGGCTGTAGAGTGATATTTTATTTTCATCGGCACTACTTACGCCATATATATAATTAAATTTTCCATTTATTCGTGTTCTTAAGTTCTTTTTTGGGGGGGGGGGCTACCTTTTGCTTCACTGATCGGCATTATCACCTAGCCCGAATGACCTCTCCCTACCAATAACCAGGATTAGCGACGTTTACTTTACTGTATCAGGGGAGAAGGAAGGCAGGGTCTGGCAGGTCCGCCCGGTAAAAGTTATGTAGTACCGTGTTCGGCACATACCACGGTGCGTTAACTATTATTCGTAATACTTTGCTTTGAAATCGTTGGAGAATTTTGTTTGAGTTATTGGCTGATCCCCACAATGTTATCCCGTACGTCCATATCCCGGTAAAAGTGGCACGCGTAAAGATTAGCGAAGAAACTTCTGACAATGAAACAGTCACAGTCGACAGAAAGGAAGGTTCCCTGTTCGAATACCTGCTGGGGACCGTTTCAAACATCCGCGGTGTTCCCCAGCCCTTGCAACCAATACTGATGCACCGTACGCAATATTAACATATCCCAGTCTACACCAAAGAATTACAAACTTCCATGAGGCGCCCCTCGTTGACCATGTGTGATCCTCCAGGTGCGCGTCGTCGGCCGTCGTACCGTCACCACTTTGCGACGTCCGTCGGTCATACAAAAATAAATTGTACAATGGCGCGCAATGCAGACCAACAGACCAATATTACGTTTCAAAGTCCGAAAATAAGTTACTTCAGTGTTACGTAGAAATGGGCCAAACGTCAAAGGTTGTTTGTAAGCATCAGGTATTCGCGTCTGCCTGCTCGTTTGTCACCTATCTGCGAGAGGACATGGAGGTGAGGAGCGCTTTTACAGGGCCCCTGCTCAACATGAGGTAACATATCACGCACCCCGTATTGGGGCCCATTTACTGCAGATTCCTTCTTGGTTATTGTTCATCGTTTAAAATACGACAAAAAGGAAAAAACGTGAAGACTACACACACAGAGACAGACATTGTCATTTGGATAATTTGACGAGATCCGAATTACGTTTTATCAAGTGGCCATCAAATTCAGTATTTCTCTCTAGTATTACAGCAATAAGAAATATTACCGTATTTACGCATGTATAGGCCGCCTGCGTATATAGGCCGCAGCACAATTTTCAGACAGAAATTGTAGAAAAAATAATTTTCTTGGAATATTATTTCAGGAGTATTACACCCTCTATTACTAATTATGAATATAATTTTTTTTAAATGAAGTGTGATTTCGAATATTTCGAATATAAGCCGCACCCCAGTTTTCCTCTTGAATTTTTGGCAACAAATGTGCGGCCTGTACATGCGTAAATACGGTAATTTGAAACCTGAACTTCAGGAACTAATATTTAAAAATACAGCCTCTACCTCAGAGAGAACACAGTGTCTTGAGTATAAAGACCAACCAGTTAGTGCTGTTTAGGGAAATTATCGTTGTTTACTGTGAGAATCATATAAAACGTGTAAAATACACCGTGTGACCGAGTGGAGTGTTTTTGAACAACTAAGCAGGCAGTACATGTAGCTACCACTGCATTTTGAAGCGTTAGTTTGTAAGTGAAGTATTACTGAATTCTCTGGGCTGACATTGAACCATGTTGTTTGCTTGTTGCAGAATGATGATGAGGGCCCAGCCAAGGGGGCCCAGTGCCCCTTGTCCACCTTGCACGTACAGCCTGATTTGTGTGACAGTGAACTCAGTGACTGCGAGAGTTACGTAAGTTCCTGTTCGTGGCTGATCATTTATTTTGACATTTTCTCCAATTGCTTGTATAACACACAGTAATTTAACTGACAGTACATGTCTTTCCTAGCACAAAAGTGTAATTTGTGTTCTTCATCTAATGTTATTTGGGCAATGAAATCAAGGATGGTGAGGTGGGTGTTAATGTAGCATGCATGGGGGAGATGAGAATGCATATAAATTTTAATCAAAGAACATGAAGGGGAAGGTCATTTGGGACACCTACCCATATATAGAATAATATTAAAATCAGTGTTAAAGAAATAGTACTTGAAAGGGTGCATGTGGCTGGGGAAAAGGTTCATGGGTAGCCTTTGTGTTCCGTTAAAGGCGACTGTCAGCTTCTCAAGAAGTGTTCCATGGCTTTGATTATTACTTAAAGGTATATTTTAATTACTACATGTCTTAAAACTAGGATTATTTGAAACAATTTTTTTACACACGCGGTTTTAACATAATTCTGTGTGTATGAGTAAGAATATTTTTTATGCCTTAAGAAAGAATGTGCCCCAAATACTGTTTCAATATGTAACATAATTTTCGTGATAAATGCAAACAAGTTCCATGTGTCTGTGCTTCAAACTGTGAACTTTAAATAGGTTAGAGAGGTCACTCACAGAGATTCTGACTTTGGCAATTTACCAGTAGTATTTGCAGCAAGCACTGGCAACAGTGATCCCAGAGTTCAATATATGAGCATTTGTCACATTGTGCAGACCAATTTTTAGCAAATACCAAATTGTAATGTCAAACTTATAACCCCACAGACAGGTTTTCTGTAGGAACAGAGGCATGTACTGGTTCTGCACTCTCTTAGTCTTTATATCTTAAAATGGCTCATAAAACGCTCTGAGTTCCTCTGCTGGCTACAGTGTACAGTTCAAATGTGCTGTCATGTACATCTCAGCAGATTGGTTGCCAAGTGCTCTTGGATTCAGTAAGGAAAAAATGACCTATCTAATTATGTAAGAGCTTTTGGCAGAATCACAACAATCTTCTTTCAAGATTTATATTTGTTACAATGTTACAAATATTACAAACCCATCTTCCTCTGTTTTTCGGGTCTTCATGTGGTTAGACATTTCATAAAATTGTTTTCGTGGGATCAATCCTATCATACCTGTATCTCAGAGCATGCACTTTCCTGTAAAATCTATTAATTCTATATTATTTTATGGTAAGGGGGGGGTCTGTCTTAGGGAAGTGCATTTCAGTTTATACGCATGTCTTTCTTACTGGGAAGACCTTACACAGAGAACATCGCTACCCCCCCAAGTTAAACGTGCTTTGTGGCATGCAAGTTCTCTTCATTGATTGGATAAAGAACACAGGAAATTAAAGAAACCCCACCGAATGTAAAATGTTGCAACAGATAATTGAAGCAATGACCCCCAATAGACAAGGGCTGCAGGCAATCAGGGTAATTCCTAGCAGAGCAGGGCTTCCTGTGTTGTTCTTACAAATGGGTGCAGCGAACAGAGACGACAGGGCAGGCCATTCAGATAAGCAAGTGACATAAATGTACACATGACAGAACGCTGGGGCGTACCAAGATCTTGATTCAGTGAAGACGACAGTAACCATTCTTGTTGATTATTTACTTCAGTTCTGAAAATGCAAAATATTAAACCCATTAGGGCTTATAGATATTAATAAAGAGTTTCTTTTTTTCACTGTGTACTAAAGGAATATTTTGGTGATTAATCAGTAAACAGAGCTCTCTGGTTAAACAGGATAACTAACATAGTACTGGGACATCATCCTGGGCCAGCTGAATCCATATATGATCATGGAAGCTTCTTTCCTTAGGATGGAATTTAATATTATCTTTCCATTTCATTTTCAGTCTTCCAGAATGTTTTCACACATACATTACATGTATCTTGTGCCTCCCCATGTTAGCCACACAACCAGATGATTGCAACCACCCTAATAGTAACATTAATTACAAAATCCTTTCTTATTTAATATGGTCTTAACCGTTCATGCTGCACCCCTCTTTAGCTCCATTTAGTCAGAAAACCTCAAGGGAAGAGACCACTAGTGAGACCTAAGCATACATGGAAAGATAATACTAAACTGGATCTCAGAAAAATAAGTTGAGAAAGATTGATTAGATTAATCTGGCCCAAGGTAAGGACCAGTGGTGGGCTCTTGTATGCATGATAATGAATCTTTGGGTATCACAAAAGATGGGGAATTTTCTGACCAGTTGAGCATCCAATACTAGGACTGCATATAGGATTTTGGTTGGAAAGCCAGAATGAAAGAGACCACTAGGAAGACCAAGGCTTAGGTGGGTGGATAATATTAAAACGGATCTTAGATAGGATGGGGGTGGTATGGAGTGGATCTCCCTGACTGAGGGCAGGGACCAGTGGAGGGCTCTTGTGAGCATGGTAATGATTCTTCGGGTTCCATAAAATGTTGGGAAACTCTTGAGAAGGTCTCAGCTTCATGGATTGAGTGAGTGAGCAAGTTAGTTAGTTAGTTGGGTGACCAATAACCTCTACTCCGTTACATTACTGTGACATTATACAGTATATAGAACTGCAGACAAACACTCAGGCCTCTGCAGTACAGCTGTAGTCACAGTTTGACAGAGAATATGTAAACAATCCCCACTACAGTGTAACTGGAATAGTAATGACAATGAAAGCTTCCTGGCACCACATGACCGGCTATTCTTTCACTTACTCTGTGTAAATAGTTGTAATGATTCTGTTTGTCACACACAGATATCCCCACAAATATAAATGAGTGAATTAATGTTGAAATACCCGTTATAAAAGCAAGGTTTACTTATATTAATTTCCAGGAAGAAGAACACCAGAAGACCAAACTCCCAGTTCACCTTGATGCAGCAAATCTGGGAGACATCCCTGCTCGCTACGTGATACCGGCTCTCAAACCACATGAGTTTCCAGCCGTAGGAGTGTATGTGGACCCAAGAATTGTACCAGGGTTTCGGTACAGAGTTAGACCCATTCACGATCAGGTAAGTTGGCCAAATGACCAGGATTGGTGAATATAATGAAGTGTTTAATCCTTTCACTGCCTTCTTTTGCAAGCATGAATAAAGCACCCAGCTCCCGCTTTCATTATGATGCAGATAACAGCTGGGAGCGACTTGACTGTAGCAGGAAATGTTTAGTGTCTTTTCAATTTACTTTTATTTAACCTGCCACTACAATTCAGATATTCTCAACATTCTCAAACCGATTAATGTGAGTGCCATTCGCTTTATTGTGTAGATGTGGCAAAGGGTGTTCAGAGCATGAAGGAAAAAGCTAATGAACAGTGTGTCAGTGTATTCAGGCTGACACAGTAGTAATGAACTGCACATAATTAGTGTTTGGAGCATTAGCTCTTCAAACTTAATGGCTACTATGTGTATTACCTACAAAACCTGCAGTTTGTTCACAGAGAATCGTAACTGTAATTTTTATTATTGTTATATGAACTTCAGGTTTCAGAAGTTTATTACGTGAAAATCCTATAAAGATTTGCTCATTGTAGAAACAGCGAATATCAGCTTCTACTGAAAAAGCATTCTTCAATTCGATGTTTCAGAACATTTTCCAAGCAACACCAGAGCATGTGTTTAATGGCCGTGCTGTCCACCTGCTGAGTATAGGACGAGGGTATTCAAGAAGACTCACTTTCGAAGCCGACACCAATACACTTAACAACAATAGCAATTACTTCTGGTCAGACTCGAGCCCTGATGGTTTTGCATTTGAATTGGAGGTGGTGTCACCTGGTGACAAATTTACGTTGCATGATGCCAATCATGTTGCCACGGGCACACTGGAAATCCTACACAACAGTGTAAGTCGTTCTGTCCATTTCATTATTCTGCACTGAGCATGAAATAGTACTGGAAGGTGAAGGGAAGGGTTCTGGGACCAGAAGAACCTTGTGTCAGCAGAATATTTTTGTTCATAGTAACTTTCTGGCTCAAACAGAACTCACAAACCCTATCAGAAGGGCTTAGAAGGACCAGATTTTTATACAAATACAAAATGTAATTTTTCCATCCCTTTCCTGCCTCTTACCAGCTCTTACAGAACACCCATAAATAATGTGACTTGTATTCTTCACTCTTGCCAGTATGTACAGTAACCATGGCTGCTAAAAAGTATGCAGGCAATGCCATAAAGAATTTGGACACAATTCAAACCTTTATTCCAAATTTTTTTCTTACTTATGTAAGCAAACTTTTAGTTTCTTAATTTGAATGTATTCCTTCTCCAAAGTTTTAGTGACTGACTGTTGTGATATTGACAAGGAAACCAACCCATATCCCAGGTGAAGAACAAACAATTCTGCTTTCTGTTACATAAAGAAAAAAGCAAAGGAGACTGACACTGGGAGATCACAGGGACCATGCACTTAGCTTTGTTATCAAATGTTCTCTGGACCCTCATTGATAGGCCAAATTTCTCCTGTTTTGTTTTTGTGAAACTGCGATTACATACAAGCAAACTGGAGAATGTGTTCAGCTTGAACAATGCACCATGTGATTCTCAGAACACTTGAATCAAATTTCTCTTGTACTGAATGAAGGAAAAAGTTCACTGAATTATTGGTTCCCTGAAGAAATACTGGAGATGTCTACTGAACGTGAATATTTTCTTGGCTTTTTCTACTGCATGGCTTTCATTAAAGTATCCCACACAGAAATAGTGAGATTGTTATTTGAAAGGATGTGACATCTTTCTGAATTCTGTATGATGTTGTGGTGCTTGATGGTGGTCAGACTCATAAACATACGTTCCCTTATTCATTACATACTCTCTGGGCTCAGAATACAATGCATAATTGCAATCAGATCATCTAAATAATGTTCAGAAGTTCACTCATTTCCTGTGTCCATTCCAAAGCCCTGTCAGTTAATGCTGTTTAAGGAAATTATCACTGTGTGCAGTGGGAATCATACAAAACACACGTATACACTGTGTGGAAAATATGGGGCTTTTTAATGCTCAAGTAGGTGGTGCATAAAGGAGAGGAGAATAGGTAGAAGGCTGGATTTGTGCCACAGCTGGTACTGACCATGTGGAGAAGAGAAAAATGTCTTGCCATTTTCGGGAATCAAATCCCAGCCATCCAGCCTGCAGCCTGTTGCTGTATTGGCAGAGCTATCCTGATGTGATCTCCTAGCAACAAGACCACCGAGACAGAAAAAAGTAAAGGTATCCCTGTAACAGGCCGTGGAGGCCCATAGGATTGTGAGATGTTGAGGCTCCCACATTTTCTCTAGATAATTGGATCACAGATGGCAGTAAGGTTGTCATCCTTAAGCGCCAGCTGCTCTTTACCTCCAGGAAGATTTCTGGTACTCATTTCTGTTAGAGGCTGAGTCGACCCCAGGGCCATAGAATGGCTGGAAGGATTAGGTCAATTGAAAAAAATATCCTGTGATCTCATCGGGATTTCAGTCCGCGACCTTCCAGCTTGTAGCATAGTGCCTCAACCAACTACACTACCGCGTGCCTCCCCAGGAAGGCAGGAACAGAAGGAAATGGGAGTGGTGAATGATTTCATTTTACTGATAATAGTTTCTGAATCTAATGCAGTCTGTTTTGTCCCACAGGCTCCTCAGGAGGAAATAAGCCAAGTGGTGCTCAGTGATGGCTCAGTCGAGAAGACAGTACGACTTCGTGCACTGTGCAAAGTTGAGTGGTTTGAAAATGGACAGTCTGCCGTCGTGATGCCAGTAAGTAACGCTCTCTCTACTATAAGCAAAATGTGCATATCCATACACATAAGCCTGGCCCCAGCCTGTTGTTATATAGTATGACCACCAGGTGGCAGTGGGAGGTACCTGCACTTCAGTTGATGCTGCAGTCTCAAACTGGCCAAAAGCAAATCTCCAAAGTTTGTAATGTGCACACTCAGTCTGCATAAGGGTGGATGACTAGAGGGGTTACATGGGGAAATTGCACCTAGAGATGTGAATTACCTTCCCCCTAGTTCTTGTATTTGAGATAATTCAGAGCAGTTACTGGCTGCATATTAACACAATGAAGATTACAAAATGTACATGGGAAAGGATGGAATTTTTGGTGGTAATGTTGAAATGTCTGTCAGTGTTTATTGTGTATCACTGAGCAGTCTGACTGAAGCAGTAATGCTTCTGGGTTGTATCCGGGAGACCGAGGTTTTCTTAGTTTTCCTCAGTCCCTCCAGGTGAATTGTGGATAGAACGTTAAATTAGAAACAACAGCTTCTTTCCATATCCCTTCAAATTTATTTCGCATTCTGCCATTTTACACTCTATAGTATGAGTTGCCGACAGTGTCACTAAATGGAGCACAAACAAAATAAGCAAATATTCTGAGTAGGGCCCAATGACCCAGCTACTAGCTGTTTTAATTAAGATAACTTGTGAATGAAGGACACGTTTCTCTGTTCTTTAGCAGGGAATTTAATGTTGTCCTCTGTTACCATTTCAAGAAAGAGAGGGGTTATGTATTTTTGCAAAGTTTGTTGTTAAGACTTTCCATTGAAATTTCAATAGACTTATGCTATTTGCGTTTACATACTGCTGTAACATTATTGCAGATCCGTGGTCTGGCTGTGGCAGTCAAACCCAGAAACGGACGGCAGAATGCCAGCGTGACACGTGTAATGAATGTCACAGTTGGTAGCCACCAGAGGAGAGGTTTTACACTCAGTCCAGGGATTAATGACAAGTGGCGCCACACTACTGTGCTGGGAGAATCTATTGGAGATGTACCAACACGTTACACTATTACTGGGCTAGAAGCCCATGAACTGCCAGTTATTGGTGAGTGGGTAAACACACAGAGAACACTACCTCCATAATACAGATCATGAGAGCCTTTGTATTGCAGCCTAAAGGTTCTTCACTTCATTCAAAAAAACTTTTGCACCGGTCCTGTCTTACAGCAGTTCAATTCACATTTCCATAATCTCAAATATCTATTTTAGTATTATCAGTGCATTTATGCTTTTATGTGAGCTATTCCCGAGGTTTTTCCAATCAATATTTTGCATGCATTTGTTATGTCCGTGTCTGCTACATGTCCCTGGTCATATCTTGTTTTTATAATCCTAACAATATTGAGTGAAGATTGAAAACCTATGTAACTTTGCCTAGAAACTGGTTGATTTCATCGTTAATATCAGAATATCGTGGAATCTCCCTTCGATGTTCCCCAGTTCGGTGTCTTCTCTCATCAGTTGCTATGATCCCAAGACAATTTTAGTATTAAATTACCTCAATTTATGATTTTGCCTTGTTTAGTGTTCAAATCCAAAAAACCTTAAATAACGGTTTCATTGTACACAGTATATACAAGTATAAGCCATGAGCAGCACTCAGATTAAGAAATTCAAGTCTTCTCATATAATTAAAAAAGAAAAAATTGGGAACGAAGATTCAAAACACAACCAAGAACCCTACCGTAATACTTGCACATTGCTTTAATAGCCATGGCTGTGGTGCATATTGGCAAGAATGGAGTGAGTTTCGTAATATTACATCATAACCGAATCTTGAACTTCGTAAAATTGTTCTTGCCTCAAGTTTACAGCAAGTTCAAAATCATGAACTCTCTTCTTACTGCCCTGTCTCCATGGCCTTCCATGTCGGCTGCCTTATGTTCAGTTGCTTGCTGAATTAAAGGAAGTGCATAAATGCAGCATAACTTCGAACAAAAATAATGTTTTGATAAGGTAAACAGAAAAGATATACCATCCTGAATGGTACAGATTGTATGAAGTAAAGTTGTGCCTGTGCTTATCTAATTAAACACTACACTGTGAAGACGTATTGGGGGAGTGAATATATATAGATCCACATCTTCTTGACTTCGGCACTAGCTGGAGGTGAATGGTCAGCTTCACGCCCTGGCCGCTTTACCCCAGGGGAAAGGGTCCCTGTCCAATGGATCGGAGGCTGGGTGGCCCCAGAGCTGGCCTGGACAATGTGGGGAAGAGAAAATTCTTGACCCTACCAGGACTTGAATTCCGACCTTGTTCGCCCAGCCTGTAGCCAGTCATTATACCGACTGAGTGTATTTACTTGAGACATTATGCTACAAGCTGGAAGGTCGTGAGTTCAATTCCCAATGAAGTCACTGGATTTTTCAATTGATATAATCCTGCCAGCCACACTATGGGCCTGGGGTTGACTCAGCCTCTGACAGAAATGAGTACCAGGAATCTTCCTGGTGGCTAAAGAGCAGCCGAAGTCTAAGACTGACAACCTAACCGCCATCTATGAACCGACTGTATAGAAAAAATGTGGGATTCTCGACATCTCACAATTCTGTGGGCCTCCATGGCCTCTTACAGGGATAGCTTTACCTTACATAAAGCATAACTTTATTTAATTCTAAAATTTTCCTGAAAGTTAGGAGAAATACAGTCATTACATTTTGGTGGAGGTGGTAATGGGGGGGAGATAGGTTTACCACTCCATTTTAACTGTTTGTATAGTTACCAGGCAAACTTCCACCTCTTACAGGACTATTTAAATCACCATGAATGTAACTAATGTTTCAGGAACATATGTTGATGCTCGCATCATGCCTGGCTTCCTCTACAGGGTGCGACCGGCTGGCAGCAAACGGCTGCTGTTCGATGGCCGGTCACTGCGGATCATTAGCATAGGACCAGGTTATGGGAAAAGGATCACCTTTGCACCAGATGAGAAAAGTCTCAATGCATCTAATAATTTCTTGTGGAGTGATTCTCATCCAGATGGACTTGGGTTCGAACCGAGAGCAGTGCATGCAGGGATGAAGTTTGCGGTAACTGCAGGGGGACAGAGGTTAGGAGAAGGATCTGTGTTCAGGGCAGATGCAGTTCAGCAGGAGGAGAAACAAGAACTGGTATGTCAGTTTGTTACTGTTTTCCTACAAAAAGAAAATGTGTACTCTGTCTTGATGTTTTCCAGCCAAAATATAGTAATAATTTCCTATTCTGTTCATACTAGTCCTCCTTATCTGATGGCTATGTGTTGTAATGATAACAGCAGAAAATTTTGAAGTTCCTCATTAGCACTTTTGTTTCTTTGGCTTTTGGCAGGTAAGAGATTCACAAGGTACCACAGTCATCAAGTACATCCATATTGATGTGACATGCCACATTACAATGGACACCACAAATGAGATGAGGAAGCCTGAGCCGCAGGTGTTGCGAGTGTCGGGGACAGCTGTAGTGTCTCGAAGGCAAGCACAAGCAGCAGCACAGTTAGTCAGAATAGAGAACATTGGTCTTTCTTCACAACTTAACCTGCTCTTTGTGACACAACAAGCAAAATTAGTTTTCCATCCACTGTGAAAGGTAGTTTTATGATAAATCCTGTACACAGATTGATTAATATTGGCTGCAGGAAAAATGTAAGTACAGGGGTTTTAAGTTTTCTTGACATCTGTTTCATCTCACACTCTCATGCAAAGTGTGTTTCGTACTACATAACTAAGTCTATGTCATAGAAAATACAGTATCTCTTGATATTCCTGAACACTGATGTGTCTATGTTAGACGGCTGAAGACATTGGGCACCACAAAACAACTTATTGACTGTATCCTGATCAGAAGATGAGCTGGATGGCTTTCAGAGAGTCCAGGGGCCGCGCCATAGCTCAAGCGGTTAGTCACTGGCTTTCCACCGCGACGGCCCAGGTTCGATCCCGGGTATGGTCAAGTGGGATTCATGGTTGACAAAGTGGCACTGGGGCAGGTTTTCTCCAAGTACTTCGGTTTCCCATGCCAGTCTTCATTCCACCAAAGTTCTCCATCATAATCACCCTGGGCAGGCTACAATAGGCCAATCAGTGGCCGCCATGCCGAGTGGACCCAGTTGGACTCCACCCCCCACTAAGCTAAATTCCAGAGAGTCCAATGGACATAAATCCTGGGGTCAAAACAAGTCATATTTTGGCTTAGCTTCATTTCCGGAAGAAGTTCCACAGTTCCAAGAGTTTTCACAGTAGACAATATTAATGTAAAGGGAAATGATACGTTAGGTATGTTCTGGTCTTTTATATGACCCACTAAGACTGCTGCTTGGTGAACACATGAAGAGAGGGCAAAATAGATCACTTCTAAGTGTGTACCTTTCCTTGAAGTTACGTAGGTGAGATCATGTAGAGGAAAAATAAGACACCTATAAATCTCATTCTTGAGTACAATTAAAATGATATTGTGATGATGTTTAATTGCTTAGAGTGTGTTATTTATGATAGTCATTTATGTCTACATCCCCAAGTTTTGTGCACAAATATGTACAGTAGAGAGCCTATTGCTTCATGCAGAAAATAAAGACATTAGACATGATATAAAATCAGTTCTTTCATATTTGCATAAATTTAACCACGTCGTCCTCAATATACCTTCCTTCACTTCCAGTTCTCTGTCTGCTATATTGTAGCAGTTGGTAAAAGTTACTGTCTGTTCACTGCAAAGCCTGAACATGATTAAATGAGAAGATACCCAAGGAGTGCTTCAGCTGAGATGTGCAAATTTGGAATCTCAAGTGAGGCAATTTGGTGTTCGTTCTGTTTCAGAAAAACAAAAGAAGAAACATTGTAATATCAAGTGTCATATGAGAAATTAAGTGCGAAGCTTCAGAACATGTTAAATAGTATATCTCAGAATTTGATTTGTTTCATTCTGGTCCGTCACACTAATAATATCACGAGAAGTTATAACAGTTCTGTCTAGTGTGAGTAGTCACACTAGATGGAACTGTTTAACTTTTCGTGATAGTATATCTCAGACCTGTGTTTTTTGCTAACCCCACTTTCTCACAAGCAAGAAACCCAACCTTCTGAACTCCATGTTCAATCAACACTGTTGCCACCTGATTCTGGGGCAAACTGGTCAGCCTCTTTCTTAAACATTATTTTCACTTCTGTACTGATCCCGCAAATGAGCATTTATTTAGTGTGAAATTCCCCATACAAAATTTGTCAGCTTTTTTTTTTTGTTTCCATAATTATGGAAACAAAAAAAAAACTGATAAATTAACTGATAAAATTGATAAATTATGAAGGTAACAATTATAATTGTTACCTTCATAATTTATCAATTTTTATGAGTTGTTGTTATCAGGTTGCATTTGCCATGTGTTGCATTGTTCAGGTGTGCTGATCCCCAAACCCCAAGTTAAAATCTAGCTGCTAACCCCGTAGTTCACAGGATTGAAAATCCACTATTCCCAGATAATAAACGTTAATATCATCAACATAAGGGTTAGAGTTTGCCTTGGTATAGCATTATAATTATTATTATTATTTATTAATATGCTTATGACTGCTTCTAATGTAACTCTGTTATGTTACCAGTACATACTCCTATAAAGGAATGGAAAACAATATGGGAATTATGTTTTTACTGATTCTGAACACAAAATGTAATTGCAGTAAGCAATTTATTTATACCATTTTACAGCTTGTTTCTACAATATTATGGCCCTTATGTAGAATGCTACAATGATGGGTGAATAGACTGAAAATGTTTTCGTGATCAGCATCAGCACAGCAGGTAATGGCAAGGACTGTTTCATATTCCGAGTATCCTGGGTTCAATCAGACCACAGATTGACTGTCCTGACAGAAGCGTTTTGTGATATTCCTGAACCCTTCACATGGACTCACATCTGGCTCAGTGGGAACCAGATGCTAAATCATCAGCTTTTCACTGAAGTGAGATATTGAGATCATGTCAGATTACTGAGTCCTTTACTTATCACAGAACTATAGCTAACAGCATTACTCACAGTATTATAGGAATTTGAATTAAGGAAAACAGGCAAGTTGCTGTGATTTCTGCAGGTATTACAATGCAGAAAATTCCTCAGTTTTAATACTTTCACTTTCCTCTTCCAAAATCCACAAGATTTTTTGTAACTTTATCTTTGTCACTTCCTGTTTTGGGGTCATTCTTTATTTTTAAGACCAAAAAAAATGAGTTTTCTGACAGAAACGTTCCCACAGATCTAGATGATACAGGCCATACTGTGAAAATGGTACCTTATTCTGTACTTCCCATAAGCTATTGGTTCCATCAGTAGCACAGAAGAGTATAATAACCAGTCATCACTAACTCTGTAGATGTAGCCATCAGAATTCTGGCTTGGGCTGTAATGGCAGTGCATGGTGATGGCTTCCAATTCTGTAATAGGAAACTAAATACTGAAATCTCAGATGGATGAGGGATGTGGTTACAAGGAAAGTGTTCAAAATTTGCAAGTTTATCCTGTTTGGCCAAAGAATGGTGCATTCCCGTAATTTGAAATTACTATATTTACCCACGCAGATGTGTGGTTGCCAGACACCAGATCAAGACTGAAGTACATAATCACACTTCCACTGGTATACTATAATGCAATAGTACTTTTTGTTTCAGCACATTAAGGGCAGCTGATCACAGTCGCCACATGGTCTAAGGCATTAACTTGTCTTCACTCACTTGAACACTGTAGTCATGGGTTCAAATCCCACTCAAAGCATGGATGTTTGTGTGTGCATTTATTTTGTGTTTGTGTTGACCTGTGTAGGTAGCAGCCTTGTGATGGGCTGATCCCCCTTTCAAGGAGTCCTACCGACTGTCTATAAGATTAAGAAACTGAAGTGAAATGAAGCGTTTTGTGGACACCCTGTGCTCCAGGGGAAGCAGTAGGAATATGAATGAATGGCTTTATGGGCACCCTGGAAAAATTTTCCTTCTGTACATCAATAAAACTGAGCAACTGGCAGTTTGTATATGAGCGCTATGGAGCGTCATTGCCACCACACCAGAGTCACTACCCTCAAACCACCTCATGAATATAATTGAAACATATGGCAAGACCTGCAAGGGATCTTACTGAGATACTGTCCCTGTCGAGCAATTGATTGCGTTACTTTCATGCATAAAACAATTTTTACAAATTTTGGGTCCTTTGACAGATTCTGTTGAAATTTGACACTTCTATCGTGAGAATACCGCCGCATCTAAGTTTTATTCTCTTTAATTCACTTGAGACCCTGAACACGATTTTGGACGTATCCACCGAGTACTCACCCAAGAGAAAATGAACACTGTAAGGATAGAGTATGTAGAATTCACGCAACAATTTTTTTCCCCCAGCTGTCTGTTATCATCCTGAGTCTGAATGAAGTATTCACTTTTCATTCAAACAGCAGACAAAAATATTTTGACAACTTTACGCGTATGTCAACAGACACACACACACACACACACACATACCTGTAACTTACACATGACTTCAGCTGGAGACTCGAGAATATTAACGGACATTGCAAATACATGGCAAAAAAAACGTAACTCAGAGTCTGATAATAATGAAGTGGTTGGCAGCACTGCAATCATCAAGTTCAGTCGCCTTCAGGTTATAAGGAGATGCTCTGAAACTTTGTGAGGTCTGAGGTTCTACGAGCATTGGCCATGAAGATGTGATGCTGTGTTGTTTGATAAAGTTTACCAGTTTTTCGATGGAATGTCGGGAAACTTCTACAAGATAATACGGCGTCACATGTGGGACGACGATACCGTTCAGTACTAATTTTGATTTTACACTGCAGCTATTGCGAAAGCTTTAATTAAAACCTTGAATTTCTGATGAGCAAAATCTGGCCCGAAAAAAAAAACTGATTATTTCCTTGTAAGCGCGGCCACAGCCGCTGTTGAGTCTAATGCGCGTAACACCTTTTACCTCTGAAACACTGGGATCTGAGTTCCAACCCTACTGGGGGTGCGTGTTCGCGTTTCTTGTGTTCCGAGTTGGCCTGTGTAAGAAGAGACCTTGCGATGTGTCGATCCTCCCTGCGTGGGGCCCTGGCAACGTTACAAGCGCTGCAGTTTCAGAAATTGCGTGTACTTACGAACAAGAACAAGCCACATCGCCTAATCCATAAAACTAAAGGAGAGCAGTACCATAAGGGATACATATACCAAATTTAGTTAAATCTGCATAACCAACGACAGACAGACGAACATAGCGAAATTTAAAGGAGCTGAACATTGTTACGAAACAAGCCTAAACATGTATAGGACAGTCGGAACATAACCATACTTGCTTCATATGGGAGAAAAAATCAACAAAGGAGGAGTTGAGGGGGGGGGTTCTTTACCTAACGTAACAATTACTTAAATTTCGGGGGTGCACCGTTCTTTGTTTCACCCGCTCGCCACGGTGAGGCACAGGATATGAGCGGGGACCTGAAACAAACAAAACAAACAAAAAACGAATTGTCATTAGGGGAGCAATAAACACAAACTGCGAGTAATTAACAAAATTAAATCACAGGCCTTACCGTCTTGTTGGCACTCCTGCCATTTCTTCTGTCACATGCGCAGTTCTTGATCTGATGCGCTATGCGTCTCCAGGCGGATAAGCGAGTGTACAGTTCGGTGCGCATTAAAATGGGCAGCTCAGTAAAATGCTCGCAATTGTAAGGCGTCCGGCATATGGAACGTGGACAGTAGCCTCAAGGCCCACTCGGCACGGGGGCCTCTCATTGGCCTACTGTAGTCTGCCCAGGCTGATTATGATGATGGAGAATTTAGTGGAATGAAGATTGGCAGGGGAAACCGAAGTACTCGGAGAAAACCCGCCCCAGCGCCACGTTGTCCACCACAAATCCCACCTGAACAGACCCGGGATCCAACCCGGGCCGCCGCGGTGGGAAGCCAAAG